AGTGTTTTTCCTCTATGTTGCTTTAGTGAGGTAAGCACAAACGGCGCCTAAAGTAACTTTCCAAATTTGTTAACCTCAAGAACAATTTACAGCATGGCCACCAGTATGGCCTTATTGAGGGCAAATGGCAGCTTTATGAGAGACATTAAAGTAGCCAAATTTTCATGCTAACGTTATTGGGTGAGAGACATTGTCCTCCAGTTTTTGAGACAGACTAGATATAAGATCATCCAAATCCTTTTCTGAATGCGTTCAGACAAATTTATCTACGGTTACATGCCTTCCCAGCCCTCGGTGCACAGCACATAAGCTAATGTAACAATTATAATTATGATAGTGGTCAGACCTACCAGGCCTTTTTAAGACATGAGAATCAGACTAATTCTCTAGTTTCAAACACAATGAGTTCAAATATGTGATGTTAATGCTAAAAAAAAGGTAACAGAATGAGAGGCATGTTAGGTCTGTGCCAGCCAAACTTCTATTGTTATCTTAACAAGTCCATATTCTTCAGGCATTGTTTGTATTTCTATTGTGCCAGGAGATTTTATTCTTTAGTTCGAGGATTCTCCCTGAATGGGGGAGGGAAATGTTGCTATCACTGTGAAAAAGAAACATTTCTTTCTGACATATTAAGCATTAAGCGGATTATGTAAAGGCAAGGCATATTGCAGAAGGAGATGTTCTTAATACAGCTTTGACCATGAACCCACGACCCTCGAGAAAATTTAGGAGAGTTAAAAAACCTATTGCTTTGACAATCTTTTAATTAAAAAAAAAATATTAATGTAAAAAGATGATGGAATTCATCCACTGTTATTTACATAAAATTCAACTTTTCCTGCTTAAAATCATGAATCATTTAATGTCACATCTGCAGGATATCTGAGGCAGATGCCATTAATCCAAGTCATTTTGCAAATTCCAATTTCATTTGGATTAAAACCTACAACTAAGTCAGTGAATAGTATATTCTGTACATGCGTTAAGGCTGGTGACTACTGAAGTCTCTTGGGTAGATAAACTAAGCACAGATTAGCCAGGTCTAAGTATATGTCCTCATCTAGGGAAAAAAAGATATCCTGACATTTCAGTGATGTAGATTTGAATCAGTAGCCATGAAAAATGGTTGAACATTTGTATTACAAAAGAGATACTATGGCACAGTCCCAAAGGTGCATTTCTTATAAATTAATTAGCTGCACAAATTATTTTGATAACAGTTACTGCACTTCTGAGGTGATATGGCTGCTCAGTGATGAGTACTTGATGATCAATGGTAGGCACTAGTAATCCTTCATGCTGAGTGACTTCATTACTATTTAGATTTACAGTATGTACATATGTGTTTGTATCTACACTTACGGCTTGATCTTCTTAACCTCCTTTACCTAAGGTCCTCTCTTCACTATAATCTCTTCCTTTGGAGCCCTGTGATATTTGGATAAAAGAAATAAGCAAACAAGGGGTTGGGGTGTCCTGCCATGCGACAGGGAGGACTATGCTTGGCTTTTGGCCACACTTGAACCTCTGCATATGCTTTGTTCTCACCTGTCATTCATGCCACCATGGAATACTATAAAGCATTAAGGCCAAGGGGTCTGTATGATCTTGCTGTCTCTGAGGATCCTATAGGCTGCTCTGCATTTGTTGCGTCCACCTGCAATACATGGTTCCTTTGAATGCATTCCCATTGCTTTACCAACCCTGACTGATTCAGAAGGCTCTGTTTGTAAGCAAACCTTTCCCTCCAGGCATAATCCTTCTGGATTTGTACAGAATGACTTCTTACTTTCACAAAGTGAACCTGAACATTGCTATGACGTAAAGAAGCCTGCATGTTCCTAGACTTTTACAACAGATTACAACAAGTAAGCGTCTTTCATGGAACCCCAGAGAAGGACGGTCTCTGCTGGTCCCACCCAGAACACACAGAGCACCTTTGACTCATGGTGAAGTGCCTAAGACTATTCAGGTTCTTCACGTGGAACATACGCTTAATTGGACCAGACCTAAAAGCCACATGCGCTTTTCCAGACGAGGCCCTAAGAAGATGAAATGAAGTACTTGTTGTCACCGTGCCACATTCAGTCATCTGAACAGCAGCAACCATTTACAGCAAATAGTCTGCACAGAAGAGTATTCTAAATAACCTCACCAAAATGGTATAGCTGCAAGAAACCCTATGGAGAGAAGGCCAAAACCTCTAATCCATTATATGTCTAATTGGTTTAAATGGCTGCTATTTCATCCTGTTACGCCACCAGAAGTTAAGGCTCAGTGTGCTCATCAGACAACACAGATGATGCCAGCACAAAAACTAAAAACCAGCGTGTTTTTCCATGGAAGCAATGGGTATTTTAGCTGAAATAATTCAATATAAGAACAATGTACAAGAAAGGACAATCATCTACCAGAGATCCTTAGTACTTGGAAATGTTACAACAGGACAGCATTAATTCTTGCATTTCTTTGAAGTTTCTTGACATATTACATCCATACAAAGAGTTCATCGTGATTAAGAAAAATATCCCGATCTTAGTAAAATAAACATGCTTCGAAGTTCCATACTTGAAACTCAAATGCCACATGTGCAATAAAACTAAACTCCATTTAAGGCAAGTAATACATGTCACTTCTAAAATTTCTCAACATTAATAGCAGTAAGGGCTCCCAAACCCCCAAACTTATCTGAAGATAAACATCATAGGCACCGTCAAAGAAAACAGAAGCTAATCTAATTGGAATTTCACTTTCCTGATCTGAGGAGAAATCCCGCAGTACCTTCATATGGTATTGAAGCAGCTGACAGAATCCGTTGCTACTAGTCTAGTAAATCACGACAGACTTCCACAGCCGGAGATCAAGCAAGTGATAAACAGAAAGGCACCGATCAAGTTCTCCACCATATTTGTGACCAAATTGTGTTCCTTCTGGGGTGGATAACAGCCAGAGTTAAGAGTGACAGGAGGACTCGGAGGATGTGTATTTTGTCACTTAAAGGCAGGTCCGTGTTCACTCTTAAAGCCAGGCAAACTATTACACTCAAGTCTGTGCTAAGAGGTGACAGCAGCCTGAGCTCAGGACTTCTCTTGGGGGGAAGCATCTGAGCACCAATGGGCACATAAATATTGGCCCGGGATGGCTTGGGGCTGAGCAATCCCTCGGTAGCTACCCTACTGAGCTGCTTCAAAGAACAAGGTGAATGCTCTGAGTCTGAGCGATAGCTGGAGTTATGGTAAGCAGCCTCGACAAGAAAAATGCAGGTACGTGGGGCCCTGTGTCCTCTCAAGCCCGCTCTTTACCACAGGGTAAATACAGCCTGGGTTAAAAAAAAAAAGATGTTTTGCTGAGAAAACGTGCCGCATTGTTTGGTATCTTTTTTTCAAAATGCAGCTCTTCAAAAATGGGGGAGGGGAAAAAAAAGGCAGCAAGGACCAATCAATCAACCATCAAAACCAGTGGCTACTTCTACTTGTATCTTCTATTGAAAGAGTCTTTTGTACTCACATTTCCTTAATCTATAAATTAGATTAGAAAACAACAATCAAAGGCTCCAGTCAGTGACTCAGACAAAAACAGTCCATTGAAGTCACTGGAGCTGCTGACTTGAGTAAGGGCTGCAGATCTGATTGCAAAAAAATTATACTTCCGATACAAAAAAAGAAAACTAAATGTGTAAAAAAACACTGTAAATGAACAAAAATGCACTGAATGCAAGCACAGTTGATATGAACTGGACTTGACCTCAGCTGACCCAAATTAAACTCCAATTATTGTGGGATTAATTCTGGCACGAAAAACACAGCCTGTCAACAGGAACTGAAAACATCCCATAAATCAAGAAACGTTAAAGCTTAGTTGAGATTATGCATGAAGAGTGAGCGGATTATGATAGGAAACAGTTCTTAGCCTGGTGAACAGCAAACTCCGCTTCCCAGATAAAGGAAATTGCATGTAATGCTCCCATACAGCCTGGAAGAAAATGCTGCAAGCTTTTGCTAGATGAAAAAGATATGAAAGTCAAAATCTGTGGGATGAAGCCTTCCCATGCAAAGCCAACAACTGGTATAGTTATCTCTCTGTCTCTCTGTGTGTACGCAGCTGAAATTAACACATTTTCTTTTCTAAGTGGATTGCAGTTTGCCATATTTTTTCATTTATCTGTTTACTGTCAGTAACAGAATGCAATTTTCCACCATCTCTTTTAAGTTCTTGCTATCAGCATATATGTTTTCAGGCTTTTTGCTTGATACTGTAGGTTATACTGTTGGTGAGGAGCTGAACAAGAGGTAAAGTTATTTAAAAAGACAGGAGATAAAGAAATGCATGCAATTTGTTGAAACTTATTGCACATGAAGGAATGCCGTCTTTCTCCAACTTAACGCGGACTACACAACTCCTCTGTGTGCCCCAGTGGGGAAGTAACAGGGAGATGGCACAGTAATATTGAAACTTCTGTGACGTGTCCATGCTCGCAGTAAAAGTTCTCCATGTCTATGATTTGCCCTCATTCATTCCAGTTCAGGAAAGCCCTTGTGTATGTGCTTAAGCTCTGCTGAAGTCAACGGGATTTCAGTACAAGCTTCAAGTTAACAATCTATTGAGAGCTTTCATGAATAGGGATCTGTGCTTATTGCACTTGGTTCAACCAACCCATGAGATTTTGGTTTCTGAGTTTCTCGGCACAAGAATAGAAAGGGTATGCTTTGTGCATTAAGATCCATTCTTTCCAGTATTTCTAGTGTATGAAAATGTTTGGAGAGTGGTACAGAACAATTCATTCTGAAGAGACATCATTGTATATTATGCATATCATTGCATATGTATACATATATGCACACATACATGTCTACACTCAGAAAATTTTTGCTCAGTATTGAAGAAATATTCACCTTTGTTTGGATCAATGCTGTGGTTGACTATTTCTGTAGCACAGTGTCCAGAATAACTGAATTATCCGTGAAAGATATACTGTCCAAGTGAATGGCACACAGTCATTATGACAAGTGAGCACTATTCCGCACCCAGTGAAGTCCTTGTTGAGTGTACTGAACTAAATGCTCCATACTGCTGTGCAAGGTGATAGGTCCCATCAATGCATCCAAGTCGTTAAAAAAATCTACAGGGAAAAAAAGATTCAGCATCAGAGGAGTGAAGCTGTATTTGCTACTTGTCACCCTTTAATAGATTTTATTCTCTTGCAAATTGAGTCAAGCTGAACGTTTCATGGGAATGAAAGTTTAGTGCTGGTGAGATTAATTTTAAAGCCCTGTGGTTCACGATGTTACAGGCTGATGCACAACAATTTTCTTCTTAAAGAACAAAACAGTGAGTTCTTCGGCTTTGCTTTTCATTAATTTCCATTGAGCCTTGATAAAGCAAACAGATGCTGGGCAAGATTTATTCTGAGATTAAGGACAACTAAATCAAAAAGTCTACACACAAGTGTCTATCTATACATATGCTAAATATCTAAGCTACCGTGACAGACAAATAGAGCCCTGTACAACATGGTCATCACAGCCTAAAGAGTAATTTGGCTAACTAGCCACTAAGGACTAAATTCAGTTGCCTACTTAGAGGTATGTAGTGCCCGTTTGAGATGCCCTCAGGCAGTTGATACATACAGCCTGGACTGGCAGGTCTAACACAGGACGTACAGGAGACTTCTGGACTGGTAGGGTAGGTCAGGATACCTCAAATGACATTTGGCAGCTATGGTTAGGCAACTGAATTGTATCCCTGTGTCCCCTTCAGGGTGAACTGAACAGCTCTCTGAACTCTGCTGTTTGTATTGAACAAAGCTCCATCAACTGTAATGGGAGATTAGTCCCCCTGACTCATATATACACACCTACGCTTAGGTGTCCTCATTTTGATTTGAATCCTGCCCATGCCACTGCCTTAAATACATGAAATAGCCTGAAAACCAAGGAATACTTTATCATCAAGTCAGATGCTGAAGCGCTTGCTCATGGAAACCAGTTCAGCTGAGAGAAGTTTGCTCTGAAGAGGGAGCGAGGCACCTCATTCCCATCTGTGTCTGCTCAGATGGGGGAAGGGCTAGGGGCTGTTCATTCCTTCTGCAGAAAGGAAGTGTGCTCCTGCTTTTTGACGTGGTCTGGCTAAATGCATCCCATCCAGCTCCACGACTTTGGGGCACAGGAAGCTGTCTTGCCTCCCACAAACTTTTCTCTCCAGAATGACACAGATGGCAGCGAATGCTACCCACAGCTATGTCTGTGACCTGTCTGTCACCAGTCCTGACCAGCCAAATAAAGAAAAAAATTAGATGCTTCTGAGCGAGACAGCTATCAAAATTGCCTTTTTGGGCCGTTCTGGAACAGATTAGGAGCAGACTGAAGAAAAAATCACCTCTGCAGTCCTACTTTGCAGACAGGATTCCTATCAAAATAGTTGTTTTCGTGATCAAAATCATGTGACAGCCTTCTAGAATAGTCCAGTGCCTTGACTCACTCACCTCTGTTTTCCTTGGCCAGGTTGTCAGCCATCTCCCAGTAGTCATAGCTGTGCAGGATGCTGTTGGTGATGCTGACGTGGTTGGCAGCCATCTGATGAATGCGCTGCGGGATGCTGATGATAGGAGATGGGGAAGGGGCCCCTGTGCTCCCCTGGGATCCTACAGAGCTGACTGGAGAAGGGCTAGGGGACATGGGTGATGGAGTTCCTGTGCTCCTGGAAACAGATTTTAATACAGTTACTTAAAAGGGCATTGGGATTAAAAACATGAGAGTATCAGAACATACGGCAGGTAAGAAAATATAGTTTCTGCCTGCCAATCTGATGTAAGTTTCTGTGCAACCTGTGAACTTACTTTCCACTGGCACCCCAAGGAGAGGGGTTCTGGGCAGCTTTTGATGAATTCTGTAAAGGAAAAAATAATTCACAATGCATATAATTTATATAAGACTATGAAATGAAGAATATTAAACAGTATAAAAGTAAAGAAATGTAAAGAAAAAACTGTGCCGACAGCAGTATTCAAGTCTCATGATGCAATAAACCCACTCAGCCTAGTTTGGTGTGATGAAGCAGTGCTGCAGCACAGACTCAAATCACAGTCTATTAAACACCCTGGGATGGGGACTGGTTAGGAAAACATGTTGGTTGAAACTGAAACTTTTCACAGAAATCCTGGGAGTTCAGAAGAAAGTACTGCCAAGACTCTTTGTGAGGTTTAACATGGAATTTCTTGTGATAGGGAAAACCAGAAGGATTTCCTCCCACTCTCCTGCCCCCAAAGACACATGCCATTCTCCTAGGACCTGCGAGACTGTGCAAGTCTGCTCAGCCTGGCTGACCACAGGGATGTGAATCTGAGGCTCCCTCAGCTCAGGTGGGTGTTTTAACCACCAGGCTCAAGAATCTCTCTCACGATTGCTCCTCTTGGGACTCTTCCCCTTGGTCTGAATATAGCAGCATTCACAGGGCCAGAGAGACTGCCCTTGTAGAGTGGTGGTTCTTCTAGCTGAAGGGTTACCCAGACCCACCCAGAAGGGGACGTTAGATCATATAGTGTGAGCTCTTGTATACCTGCAGTCATTAAGACTCTCACTGGTATACTGTGCTTAGGTGAAAGAATTCCATTGCTTGAGGAGAGGCTACTTTGTACAAGCACTGCGTTTACAGAGCAGGAGAAATTCAGGTGTCCACAATAATGGAAACCGAATAGCTAAAATGATTCTAGTAGTTAATCTACAAGAGCTGGTGGGAGTCTACTGGCAGGTTCCTGCCCATTTGACCTGTGGAAAAACTCCTCCCCTCTCCCAAATGCTGTCACTGATTTAATCCTGGGCCTGTGAGAAGGAAGGATGTAAAAACCACAACTGTAGGAAACAAAACTTTTCTGGTCCATCCCATCCACAGCCTCAAGTTCAGCAATGGCCAGTTTCTAATTCCTCAGAGGAAAGTGACCTCCTTGCACCCTCCTCTGAAACCATACATCCAGATAATTGTGTGCTGGGGAACAACCCTCCCTTCTTGACAACCATGGGAGACCAAGTGAAGTCCTGCAGCTCGCGATCTGTTTATGGATATTGTTCAAATGCAGGGCTGCAGGTGTTGCAAGCTGCAGGAGTTGCAAGTGTTAACAGCAGTACAAACAATCTTCATCTCTCATGGCTTAGGAAGGAAAAATGATAAACAAGCGGTTTTAGAGCTTCATGGATTTCAAGGCCAGGACTAATCCCCCAGGACACTCAGTCTGTCCCTTTTCCACCAATCATGGAACTTTTACCAGAAGCTAAATTCCTTTTAAAATTTATTTATTTTATTTTATTGTATTTTAAAAGGATAGCTAGTCATACAGAAATCTTAAGACACTATTTATCCTCTTTGTTCTCTTATGTCCTGCATCTAATGTTTAGGGCCTCACAGAGTTAGGAAAACAGATT